TATGTAGTGCTGAGGATCGAACCCAGTACCTCACAAATGCAAGGCAGGCGCTCTACCACTGAGCCAACAACTCCACCCCTAATACTAGTGTTTTAATCAGCTTTTTGACTGCTGTGACTAGAAAAAACCTGACAAAAACACTTAGCGGAAGAAAGATTTATTTGGTTTCAGAGGTCTCAGTCCATTGACAGCTAGCTCATTCCTCTTGGCTCCAGGTGAGGCAGAACAACATGGTGGAAGAGTATGGCAGAAGGAAGCGGCTCACATGATGGTAGGGAGCTGAAAGAGAATGTTGATTGGTACCTTTTAGGATAACAATTTGACAATATCAATGACATTAGATAATATACATGTAAAGATGAGAAAAATGGGTGTATTACTGAATGATTTTGACCCTGAGATGATAATTCAAACTCAGTAATAAGTCTGTGATAGTTCTGTCTGTGATAGTTTTGTCTCCTTTTTAAAGTTTGTAGTAGTTTATAGTAAAAAGGAAAATTGTACGTAGTATTTGATACTGTGATTATTTTCTTTCTTTATTTTTGATACTGGGGATTGAGCTCAGGGCACTTGACCACTGAGTCACATCTCCAGACCTATTTTGTATTTTATTTAGAGACAGGGTCTCACTGGGTTACTTAACACCTTGCCATTTCTGAGACTAGCTTTGAATTCGGGGATGCTCCTGCTTCAGCCTCCAGAGCCGCTGGGATTACAGGCGTGCGCCACTGTACCCAGCATTACAATGATTATTCTTTTTTTAAAAAACATTTTTTTAGTTGTAGATGGACACAATATCTTTATTTCATTTATTTATTTTTATGTTTTGTCGGCGGGGGGGGGCTGGGGTTGTGGCTCAGCAGTAGATTGCTTCCCTAGCACACATGGGTGGTGCTGGGTTTGATCCTTAGCACCATATAAGAAATAAACAAATTAAATAAAGGTATTGTGTTCAACTACAACTAAAAAAAAATTAAAAATATTTTGCAAATGAATATGCAAAATTCTTAATGTAGGGTGGGGCACATGGTAACCTTAAACAACTTTGTTAGAGGTTTGGCTATGAATGGGAGGAAAAATAAGGTTGTAGGAAGAGATATAAGGGATCAAGGGTAACTATTACTAGGTTAGGTTTCATTCCAAGATACAGCACATTGGAATATTAAGAAAAGCATGACATAGGGGCTGGGGATGTGGCTCAAGTGGTAGTGCGTTCGCCTGGCATGCGTGTGGCGCGGGTTCGATCCTCAGCACCACATACAAACAAAGATGGTGTGTCCGCCGAAAACTAAAAAATAAATATTAAAAAAGTCTCTCTCTCTCTCTCTCTCTCCCCCCCCCCCCCTCCCTCCCCCCTCCCTCCCCCCTCCCCCCTCCCTCCCTCCCTCTCTTTCCTTCTCTCTTTCTCTCTCTCTAAAAAAAAAAAGAAAAGAAAAAGAAAAGCATGACATAAACTGTAGGCAATGGAAAAAATAAGATCTTATGACATCTTATGATTTATGGACACTTAACTCTGCGTGGGAATAGTGCAGGGTAGAGTAAGGAAGAAGCAGACTTCACCGTCAAGAAAAAGGGAGGGGAATTTATTTAAACAATAGTGGAGCATATAAAACTGTCTGGGAATGTTTGCAGTGTTGGTTGTTTTATACATTTTCCACTTCAGAATTAGAAGATTCTAGGTCATAACATAGTTTCAACTCCTTGGCATTGTCTTGAGGTCATTTCTTACCCATATATATGTTGTTCAGGCTTTGGTTAGTTACTTAAGGGGTATAAAACCCCTCAGGTAATCACCAGATGTATAGCTTTTTAAAAATTGATTTTGCTAACATGGTTATTTTCACACTGTGATTTGAAGGTATAAAATTGTTTCAGTGTTGAAAGGTTTCAGCCTGGCTTTGAGCATTCCAGATGATAGAATTAATTGTGATTCATTTTCCATTTTTACTTCTGCTTTTTAGTACTTATCCTGTCAGACATTTAAACCCCTCATATTACTCAAGCATCCCTTTCTCATATATGGCTTTAACAATATATATGGCAGTATATAATTTCTTTATTTAGAACAATGGCTCTTAAAATGTAATCCATGGACACTTTGAGAGGATCTGCAAGATCAAATAATACTAAAATTTTTCTTTTTCTTTTCTCTTTGTGATGGATTCTTACCATGTTGCTCAGGTTTGTTTCAAACTACTGGGCTCTAGCCATCCTGTCACCTCAACCTCCCAATAACTGGAACCGTAGCAAAACTGATTTTTTTTTTTTTTTTGCCTTCCCTACTGTGTTGACATGTGTACAGATGGTGCACAAACAATGTTAGCTAAAACTGCTCTGTACCTTAGTGTGAATCAAAGCAGTGACATCAGACTTTGCTAGTGTTCTTCGTTGATATGTGCTCACAGTAAAAAATATAAAATAGACATAGACATATATGCACAATTTAATTTTACTTAAGAACATTTTTGATGAAACAGTAAAAATTATTAAATTTGGACTTTGAATTTAGGTTTTTAATATCATGTGTGATGAAACAGGAAGCATGCATAGGGTATTTCTGCCAGCTTTAATAGTAGCTATTTCATAGAACACCATTTTTACTTTAAACAGTGAGTGACTTACGGATACAGCAGATACTTTCTCGATGTGACAAACTTCATTTTATATTTATCCTTGTATTTACCTTTTTTGATTTTCTTCATTCCTCTGTGTTCAAGTTACTATCTTATATGACATTTCTTTAATATTGTTTTGCCCCCACATGCCTCCTTTTTGCTGTTCTTTTCAAATGTAGCATATTTCTATATGTTTTAGGCCTAACAATTGAATTATATACTTAATATTTTGTATATTTGGTTTGGAGGAAATATGCTTTCATTCTTTTATAATTATTTAATTACTTTTACCAATGTTGTTGTTTGATATGTGGGTGTATTTTAATTTCTTTTTGATTTATTTACTTTAAACCTTAAGAACTTCCTTAATGTTTCTTGTAAGGTGGCACTGCTAATAATAGGTACAGATTTTGTTTATCTGGAAGTATCTATTCCATTTTTTTAAAAAAATATTTTATTAGTTGTTGATGGACCTTTACTTATTTATATGTGATGCTGAGAATTGAACTCAGTGCCTCATACATGCTAGGCAAGTGTTCTACCACTGAACCATAACCCCAGCCCCTCTATTCCAGTTTTTTAAGGACAGTGTTGCTAGTTATAAGATTCTTGGTTGGCAATTTTTCTTTCAGCACTTTATGTCATCCAGCTGCCTTCTTTTATTGTTTCTGATGAGCAGTCTCATTAATCCTGTTGGGATTTCCTTGTACGTGCTTTTTTCAAGATTTTCTTTTTGTCTTTCAGCATTTTTACTGTGGTGTGATTGAGTGTAGATTTCTTTGCCCTTATTGTACTTGAAGTTTGTTGAGCTTCTTGGATGTATAGATCAATGTTTTTAAGCAACTTAAGAAGGTATTAGTTATTATTTCTTTGGTTATCTTTAAAATGTATTTTGTTTTAAACTAAAACTGTCCCATTTGAACATTAACTCTCCCCTCCTCCCAGCCCCTACCTACCATCCTTCTACTTTCTATGAATTTGACTACTCTTCTACTCTTTGTACCTTATGTAACTAGAATTATAGAGTAGTTGTCCTTTTTGTCTTGCTTATTTCACATAACATAATATCTTTAAGATTTATGTTGTAGCAGTGTCAGGATTCCTAAGAATTTGTGAAATTTTTGGTCCTAAAATTAGTTATCCTTAATTCTTAGGTAATGCAACATTTTTCCTTCCCCACTTGTTTTATTTTTACTAACTTTTATTCTGTCAATTTTAGGATTATCATCTATGTAGTTTTACATGTCATTGTATTTTTTTAATATATTTTAGTTGTAGTTGACACAGTACCTTTATTTTTATTTATATGTGTTTTTTATTAATATGTGGTGCTGAGGATTGAACCCAGGGCCTTGCACGTGCTAGGCGAGCACTCTACCGCTGAGCCACAACCCCAGCCCTCATTGTATGTTTAATTAGTGAAATATATCTAAATGGAACTGTGAAACCAAATACTGCTATGTTACCTTTAAGAAAATTGATGATAGCCGGGCATGTTTGTGTATGCCTGTTATCCCAGCAGCTCGGGAGGTGATCCCGAGTTCAAAACCAGCCTCAGCAAAAGTTGAGGTGCTAAGCTACTCATTGAGACCTTGTCTTTAAATAAAATACAAAATAGAACTGGGATGAGGCTCAGTGGTTGAATATCCCTGAGTTCAATCCCTGGCACCCCCCAAAAAGAATTTTGATGGTATGCTGTGGTTTTTATAGAATGACTGTTACATGTAGTGTATCATTTTGAGGTCGCTTGCTTAAAAAGAAGTAAATGTTCTTAATAATATACTTTGCATTTGAATGTGATTTTGTGAAACTAATGGTTCTCAGTTTGTTTTAGACTCCCAGTCTGCATTTTTAAAGGATTGTGTGTAAACCCCTGAAAATCAAAAAAGGCTAAATTCAGTAGTGATTTCCTGTAGAAAAAATATTATTGCCCTTCCAGTGAGTGTGACTATACCCATCTACCTGCCCAGAGTTAATGTGTCTTTACTGACTGTGGAATAATTAGGAGTTAAGGTTTAAGTCACTTTTATTCTTTATCTAAACTCAGTCATGAGATTCAAGGCTTTTTTTCCTCATGACTGGCCTGCCTGCCTGCCTGCCTGCCTGCCCGCCCGCCCCTAAAGCTGATATTTTAATGACACCTGCCCAAATATGTTTATATTAGAGTGGTTGCTGAATTTGGGCCTCACTTTAGGGTATACAATGAATGAATATTGAGAATTGCTATTGCTTTGTTTTAAACTTACTGGGAGAGTATTTGTGATTTGAGGTTCTTGTATTTCCTTCAATTTAATTTTTTTTAACAAATCAATTTTTGATTGAAATATCATTGGTATAAACTGTGTATAAGTAAGTTTTATCTTTGTTTTTTTATTTCCTTAACAGAGACTCTACAGGGGCAGGTAATTCACTGGTCCACAAGCGGTCTCCTTTACGTCGAAACCAAAAGACCCCAACATCCTTGACCAAGCTGTCTTTACAGGATGGACATAAAGCCAAAAAGCCAGCATGTAAATTTGAAGAGGGTCAGGATGTCCTAGCTAGATGGTCAGATGGCTTGTTTTATCTTGGAACTATCAAAAAGGCAAGTTATCTTGATAGAAGGCATTTTTTCTGTTTTTGCAGTGAACTTTTAATAATCTTAAATTTCATGTTGATAATTTAAGAAATAAATATTCTTCTGTATTGCAGATAAACATTTTGAAACAGAGCTGCTTCATCATATTTGAAGACAGTTCTAAATCCTGGGTTCTCTGGAAGGACATTCAAACAGGCAGGTGCTACTATTTCTCTTGAACATGTTTTATACTGAAATATGATTTTCTTCAACCTGACATTTTCTTTTGAATGTATTGTTTTATGATAATTCAGTATCACATTTGAGGAGAGTTTAAAAAGTACCCTACAAACAGAATTATTCCTTTTTCCTTACTTTGTAAATAAAGATGGGTTTCTCCATAGTGGGACTGGAGCATGTTATATTGCTTCCTGTTCCTCTTCCTTTTGCTGTGTATCCCTTTCAACTTTTTGGTCTTTTGGAGGTTTTTGCAGGTTTATGATAAGTCTGTCTTTTTGTTCCCTCCTTTTCTCCTTTCCTTTAAAAAGTAGCAGAAAGAAAAAGTAAACCAGTTACATAGAGGAAGAAAGTTGTGAAAATTGAAGGATCCTGTCTAATAAGAGTCCCACCTTGTATATCAGATTAGTGATCTGTGGTTGATTTTTCTTCACTGGCTCCTTATACTACCCCCTAGAATTACAAAGGATTGCTCCTTGACCATATAACTCTTTGTTGCACCTAGAAACTTATTACTATAGAATGCAAATACAAAGTGAACCTGAAAATCATATGACAGCTCAGCAGGAAATAGTTTTAGTAGTTTTCTTTCTTGTAAGAATCCTATAAGTTATTTATTTATGTTTGTGTGTATATCTCTAAAATAATATATGTATATAATGTGTATATATGTATTTTACACATATAACAATACATTAATTTTATCTAGCAATATACTTTTTTTTTTTTAAAAAAGAAGATTCAGTCTTTCTTTTTTTCTTTTCTTTTTTTTTTAAATATCTTTTGTTTCATTTGTTTATTTTTATGTGGTACTTGGGACCGAACCCAGGGCCTCACGCATGTGAGGCAAATGCTCTACCACTGAGCTATAACCCCAGCCCATAGCCATATACTTTTTATTTTCAATTTTTTTTTTAGTTGTAGATGGACACATTATATTTATTTTTATGCAGTGCCAAGATCAAACCCAGTGCCTCACATGTGCGAGGCAAGCACTCTACCACTGAGCTACAACCCCAGCCCTAGAAATATACTTCTTAAAAGTTTACACAGGGGCTGTGATTGTGGCTCAGCGGTAGAGCACTCACCTAACACGGGCAGGAGCCGGGTTCGATTCTCAGCACCACATAAAACTAAGGGCATTGTGTTGTGTCCATCTACACCTAAAAAATAAATATTAAAAAAAAAAGTTTACATAAATAAGGAAAAATGTGATCCTGTTAGTAAAGAAATGTGTGCCATAAGAGGGAGATATGTGTGATGTTAAGACTGTTACATAATTTCAAAAAGGTATTTAAACACCTATGCTATTTTTTGTTTCTTTGAAATGATATACTCCTGCAATGCTGGTGACAGTATAAATTTCTGTTTCAGTTATTTAACAGTTGCATTAAATGCATAAAAATTTTGTACTCTGATCTGTCCAACAAGACTCTCTTCTAGAACTGCTAGAAGTTTTTTCATAAGAAATAATTTAAAAGAAAAAAGCTAGAGGAAAAATGTTCACTGTAGCATATTTTAAACAAACAAACAAAAATCTTGTATTTCTAAAATGCAAAGACCAAGACTACAGTAATCAGTTAGATTTTCTAGTAGAGGACCACTAAGCTCTATGGGAAGATTCTTGTACACTTGACGGTAAAAACAACAACAACAACAACAAAACAACATGTACTTGAACTTCACAAGTAAAGTATTCCCAGGTTCCTCAGGAATGTTTTCTGAGGTAAATGTATATTGTTTATCGGATCAGCACCCCTTTTACTGAAGACCTGCCTTCCCTCTCACTCTTATAGTGGGAATCAACTCAGGCACCTACTCCAGGCAGGGGCTATCATTCCCTTTCCAGGGAGTTGCAGATTTGGGCTGAGAGGTCCCAGGCTGTCTGATTACTTTCCTGACTGGAGCCATAAACCCAGGAGCTATGGGAGGCCAGGTCCTACCAAGCATACCAAGTAAACAGAGTTGAGGAGAGACGACAGGAGACCAAAACAGACAAACAAGTAAGCAAAAATACAAAAACCAGACAAAACAATAATTGCTAACCTATGTGGCCAACAGTAGAAGTGTAATGAAGTAAATTTGGTTCTTTCCACTAGATGCAATATAATGCAGTTATTAAAAGTCATAATTTTGAAAACTGGCTGTGTGAAAATGCTTTTGATAGAAGAACTATTACATAGTATTAGTGAAAGGAAGTACCTTGTGGTGGGGAGAATAGGAATTCTGTCTTATGAATTTGGATCCTAGTCTTGATACTTTATAATTGAGGGTCTTTTGGTTATTGTATATGTCTGATCTTCACTTTTTCTCTAGGAGTAGGATATTTATCTAATAAGTTAGCTTTAGAATTAAATAAAACGTGAATAGTCTAACAATACTTGACCCATAGCACAAAATGATGAATATTATTGTTGTATGCAAGTAAACTGTGTGTTATTATTTTGATTGTATTAAAATAGGCATGAAGAGAATATTAGAAATGGTAATTAGCACGTGCTGGTGTGATAAAATTATATTCTAAATTTTTTGATTTTTTTTTTTTCTTTTTTGTTTAAGAATAAAAATGCTCAAGGAAAAAATGATTTTTTATTTAGATGAGAAGTGTAGTTGATAGCTGAGTGAATTGGTCCACATCTGTAATCCTAGGGATTCAGTAGGCTGAAGCAGGAGGATAGCAATTTCAGCCTTGGCAATTTAATGAGGTCCTAAGCAGCTTAGGGAGAGCCTGTTTCAAAATTAAAAAGGCTGGGGATGGTAGCCCAGTGATAAAGTGCCCCCAGTTTTAATCCTCAGTACCAGAAAGTAAATAAGAACACACACATACACACACACACACACACACACACACGAACACGAGAATGATAACTAGAACTCCAGACTTTTTTACAGTGGTGTACATTATTGGGTACTTTATTGTTAGGGTACATTATTGTTCAGCATAGTTCCAGATTTCAGAGATGAAATAATTGGTGTCCAGTCTTTTTTATAAATTAGTAAATCAAAAGAAATATTCTGAATCCATAGAGAAAGGAGATTATTTACATATTTTCCTTTAGTCTCATGATATTAGTGATGTAGGATGAATGAATGCGTGCCCTTAAACCTCCCTCAACCCCCTAACCCTACCCCCAGAAGTAGGAATATCAGAAATGAATAATTGAGATGCTGCCTGAGAACAATGTAAATTGTGCCCTCTGCCAAAAAGCAGACTGAAGTGTGAATGTACACAGGTATCTTAAGTTAAAGGTGGAAAGAACACAGAGACACTAGAAATATCATTTTGAGAGATAGCATTTTGTCTTGTGAAACATTTTGATCTAATTATCAAATACTGCCCATGTGGGCTACCTACTGAGTCATAAAAATAGTTTTATGTGGAATTCTTTTGTGACCCCCTGCTTTTTATGTATGTTTTAAATATTTCAGGAGCCACTGGAAGTGGGGAAATGGTCTGTACAATATGTCAAGAAGAGTATTCAGAAGCTCCTAATGAAATGGTTATATGTGATAAATGTGGCCAAGGTAAACATTGATTTCTTTTAGTCTTGTGGAAATATTTAGTTATATACTGAATACCTGTGTTGAAGATGAATGACTAAAAAATACATTTGTAATTTGAAGCTATTATCCTAAGTTATATTCATCAATTGTAAATATTTTAATGCAGGAAACGGTACTAAAATGCCTTCTTGAAAATGTGTTTTGCATTATTTATTAATAAAATAGAATTTGCTTTATGCTCTTTTTGATATTAAGGGTACCATCAGTTGTGTCATACACCTCATATTGATTCCAGTGTGATTGATTCAGATGAAAAATGGCTCTGTCGACAATGTGTTTTTGCAACAACAACAAAGGTATCTTTTAAGTGTCTTGGGCTAAAGCCCTAACTGGTATTTTTAAAATGCTATCAATATAATAATTATTTACATCAAAAGTTTATTTGAATGGTATGAACAATTGTTGTTTGCCAGAAAAATCGACGTTTATTGTTTGATTAATTATGCTTAAGTGACTTGAAGTTATTCTTCATTTCATGACAGTGGAATGGGAATTGGGGCAGTAATTTGAAAGAAGACAGAAAATGGAGATTATTAATCAGTTTGTGATATTAGAAATTTAGAACGGAATTATTATTTTTTTTTTAAGCAGTCTCAGGCATTTTAAAATTATAGAACTGTGTTTAAAATTTTAACCTTTACTCTTTCAAATGATTTTTTTTCCCTCTAATATGTAGAGGGGTGGTGCACTTAAAAAAGGACCAAATGCCAAAGCATTGCAAGTCATGAAGCAGACATTACCCTATAGTGTGGCAGACCTTGAATGGGATGCAGGTCATAAAACCAATGTGCAGCAGTGTTACTGCTATTGTGGAGGTCCTGGAGAGTAAGTAAATACAGTTACTTAATGTCCTTTAAGTAATTTTCATTTGCTTGCATTGTCTTATTTTTCTTACTGATTGGTAAGATTAGTAGTGAATTGCAGATGCTTGAAAGTATCACTAAAGACAGCTAGGGGAAGAAAATTCACCATTATTTCACCAAAAAATTCTCATCTAGGTTTCACTCATATTCATGTATTTTAAAAAATCTTACTATAAGGCTATTCTGGCATTTAAAAAAAATATTTATTTTTTTAGGTGTAGATGCACACAGCACAATTCCTTTATTTTTATGTGGTGCTGAGGATCGAACCTGGGTCCTGCCTGTGCTAGGCAAGCGCTCTACCGCTGAGCCACAATCCCAGCCCCTATTCTGGCATTTTAAAATGAGTTATATATATTTATGTATCTTATAAAAATAAACTGTAGAGGGGAAAAAATATATACTGTAGGGGTCCACTGTCAGGTCTGAAAATTTTTAGTTTTATTGGATTTCACATTTAATATGATTGACCATTTAGAAATTGTTATATTTGATACTGTTATTTGAGAGCATAAGAGACAGATGTTGGTTTAAACTACAGAACAAAGATGAGACTTTTTCATAGATTGATTAGAGGGCATACCTTACTATTCTTTCCTAAATATTCCATTTCTTATGAATACAGGATATCATTTGCCAGAGGAAAATACCATGTAGTTTTTCTAAGTTTTAACTGAAAAAATATGCCATCCAGGTACTAGAGAGGCTATATTTGTTTCTGACTCCCAGGTGCTTTGACAGCCACCTTATCATTGATTATTAACTAGATTATAAAGAAGAAATCATTTGAAGTTGACCATTGTAGTTAATTATATATATCCATAATTAGAGGCTATAATTTTATTCATCTTTATTATTAAATTTTGCTATATCAGCCTGGTATGGTAGTGCACACCTGTAATCCTAGCTATTTGGAAGACTGAGGCAAGAGCGTCACAAATTCAAGGCCAGCTTTGGCAAGGGCTGGGAGTACAGCTCAGTGATAAAGTGCCTCTGGGTTCCATCCCCAATACTGGGGGCGCGGGTGGTGGTGGTGGTGGTAATTACATCTACAAACCAACATTCTACTTTCTAGAAAATTTGCCTTTAATTTCTGGTCCATGGTCCTCAGTTCTGCCTTTCAAACTAAACATTTTATCTGTTATATGGGGTAGGTCTTAAAAATGTTGCAAGTCAATGGCATATATCTATAATCCACTGAACTGAGGAGCCTAAGGTGGAAGATTGAAAGTTCCAGACCAGCCTTGGCATTTCAGACTTTGTCTCAAAGAATGAAGGTCTGGGAATTTAGTACAGTTGTAGAGTACCCCTGGGTTCAATCTCCAGTACCCCCGGTTTAAAAAAGTGTATTTTATGCCAGAAATTTTATTTCCTACTTCTATGACCTATGTAGCAATAATGTTATCTTCTCCAGACTAAAACTCCACTGCCAGCAAACAGTCTTTATGATATAATTTCCAAACTCTGTTTCTCTCCAGTGTTTTAAAGTTATTCTTAAAATACTGTGCCATGATTGGGAAAAAGGTAGTGTTTCCAGAAGTAGTCTGGTAGAATATAATGATTTAACGGGCTATTTAGAATCTCAGGCATGATGCTTCTCTTGTTGCATCATACAAGAAATTTTATTACCTCTTTTAGACACTCAGTAGATATTCTCTAGGTTCATGTAGGTAGTCAACTAATAATTTTAGCAGCTTTTGGGGGGTGGGCGCTATTGGGTATTGAACCCAGGGGCACTTTAGCAGTGAGCCACATCCCCAGCCAATTTTTATTTTTTATTTTGAGACAGGTCTCACTAAGTTGCTGAGAGCCTTGCTGAGTTGCTGAGGCTGGTGCTGAACTTGTGATCCTTCTGTCTCAGCATCCCAAGTTGCTGGGATGACAGGCATGCACTGCCACCATGAGGTGTTCAGTGATGAAAATGAATATATAAATGAATGAATTTTTAGTTCTTTATTCTAATTCATCTTTGATCTTGTGGAATATTAACTTTGTGATTTAACACTTCTGTAAGATTTCTCAGCTTTTGGTCATCTGCAAGTTTAAAAAGCGTTTGTCTAGTTTTAAAAAACCAGTTACATATAAAAGAGAAACAGTGAACAGGTTTATCTTTTTTCCTTTACTCATTTAATTCTAGCATTTTGTTTACCTATTTTATGAGGTAGATTGTTCATTATCTTTAAACATTAAAAGAATAGGAAATGTGCCTGATATTAGTAACTATGTTAGTTTCACCATCTAGTAGAATGCATGGATTGTAGTTAGTATTCATAAGTCATTTGATAATTGGCTCACTTTACAGGCTTCTTAACCTTTGCCTATGTATGGCTTACAATTAGTGTGGGACTCATTTGTTGGAAGAAAAGATGTTATTTGGAAGTAATATCTTATTTTCATAAAGGATTTCATGGTGTAAAACCATATACTAATTAAAAAGAGAATATATCCTTCTTAGATGAAGATTCAGTTGTAGTATCTTCGGCTATTTGAAACAGATCTGTAGGTCTGTATTCTGAATCAGTACTAAACCTGTGACAAAACTTTTATACTTTGATATAGTCTTAGGTTAGATGTCTTTGTTCTATTTAAATTACTTAAATTGCTAATAAATTCTTTTCATTATAATAGAAACACAGTGAAGATATAAAATGGAATGTTCACACTGCCTATGGCCATTTGATATTTTGGGCAAACAATAGTACCTCTTAATATGACCTCTCCTAAGGTATAGAGAATTGATGTGAAAAAAGTTTTAGGCTTCTGGCCAGGCATTTGGGCCAGCCTGGGGATTGGGGTGGAGAGGGTGGGGGATGTTGCTCAGTGGTATAGCACATTCTTAGCACATGCATGGCTGTGGGTTCTATCTTCAGCACTACGAAGGAAAGAAGGATGGATCCCATGCCTGTGCTTTGAGAGAAATCCTATACTAGTGTAGAAGCTGGGCATTGTTGACTAGAAGTAGATCTGTTTTTCAAGAGAAGAGGTATGAAGTGTGTTCAACATTACAAACCTTTTTGGGAAAGAAAAAAAAATTGCACTTTAGAAAAACGTAATGCTAGGGGTTGGGATTATGGCTCAGTGGTGGAGCGCTCGCCTAGCACATGTGAGGCCCTGGGTTTGATCCTCAGAACCACAAAAATAAATAAATAACATAAAGGTATTGTGTCCAACTACAACTAAAAAATACATATTTAAAAAAAAAGAAAAACGTAATGCTGGGCTGGGGATATAGCTCAGTTGGTAGAGTGCTTCCCTCACATGCACAAAGGCCTGGGTTCAATCCCCAGCACCATCAAAAAAAGAAAAAAAAAAAAAAAAAGAAAAAGAAAAACAATGCTTTAATCATGATTGTAGTTTGCATATTATGCTACTTTGTTGTTTTAATAAACAATGAAGTTTTTCCCTCATCAAAAAGTAGTAATTTTAGTCTTAACTTTTTTTTTATTTTAATAGCTGGTATTTAAAGATGCTACAGTGCTGCAAATGTAAGCAGTGGTTTCATGAGGCTTGTGTGCAATGCCTTCAAAAGCCAATGCTATTTGGAGATAGGTAAGAAGAACATTTCAATCTTACTAATTAATTTTATTTTTGTGACTTCTTCATTGTATTTATTTTACAGTTTGTAATTTCTAAAAAACATTTTGACAGTGATTTGTAAAGAGGTCACTTCAGGGAAAATACTGAATAATATGCTTTAAATACACATGATTTTTGTGCTTTTGGATATTATTCCAGAAAACTTTTAAGTAGTGTCAGTGATTGCATTTACTTCTGTTGCCTCCATAGTACCCTAACCTATTATCATTGGTACCTTCCTTTAAAATACTTAGAAAGGATCATATGACAGAGAATTGGAGAAGGCCACAGACACAATTTTTTATTTTATTTTTTTCTATGTTTTTTTTTTTTTGACCATACAATTTATTTTTTTTAGTCATACATGATAGCAGAATGTATTTTGACATATAATACATACATGGAATGTACATACATCAATCATATCACAGACACAATTTATACCTTAAAGAATTTGTAAAAGCAGATACTTTCTATATTGAGTATTATGTGGAAGAACAGAGTGAGTTCTAGGAGGTAAAATTAAAGATAGAGCACTAAATTTGGGTTTCAACCTTGGCTTATGCAGCTATTACCATCTTTTTGACTTTAAGAAGGTCAGCATGTCTCCTTTGGGCTTATCTTACTAGGTTATTTTGAGCATTGGATGGTACAATGTATATAGGGGCAGCCACCAAGTTCCTAACACACGCAAGCATTAGTAAATTATGGTACATATGAATCTTTGGGAATGTCAAAGGACTCTAATAGTTAGAGTCCTTCTCCCTAACTACTTTGTTATTTGAAAAGAAATTCCTTAAATCTTAGCCTCATTATTGAAATTACCTTTTGTTTTGGGTGTGAGTCCTTACATTCACTGTAGGATCTTCATTTGCTGACTATTTGCCTGTATTTATATCCTTGATGACATAATAAAATTTTTTTCCTTAGGTTTTATACATTTATTTGCTCTGTCTGCAGTTCTGGACCAGAATACCTCAAACGTCTACCATTACAGTGGTAAGAATGGATATTTCTGTTAAGAAAAAAAGGAGCTATATTATTAGATCTCCAAGATGAAAGTTCTGTGTCTGTGTACTTGCTTAAATAAAACTTTGTTCCTTATACCTGGCTTTATTTCTTTTATTTATCTTTAAGCCATCTTCACTAATTATTATCTACTTTTATTGCTAAATTAATAAGGCTGTTTATTGTAGAATGGCATAAATGTAGTTTTCAAACGTATTTTAAATCTTATTCATAGTTCCAGTTCATTTGTGCCTTTAGAATAGCATATAGTAGAAGATACGTAGGTTAAACAAACATGAGTTTCTGTACAGTAATTCTATACAGAATGTGTGGTGTGATTAGTTTTATAGATTTAGTAATAAAATACTTAAAATAAGTATTTATAAGTATTTTTATTATCTTTTACATAATTTAGGAACAGATAGAATTTAACTCATGAATTAGATAAAGTAAAGCCTGATAAAGTATGGTCTGTTCTATAGTTTTTATGTAGTATTAAAAATACAAAAATCTTGATTGTAAATTATTTTCTCCTAAATTCAGATCCTCTTTGAATGCATTTTAAGAAGTAATTCAGGTATCTTTTAGTTTATAATTACTATTCATAATAAGTTAATATTTTGCTAATGTTTTCCAGCTTTTTCATATGTAATGATTTATTGTATTATGAATATGACTTAGGACATTGACCCTCTATCCATCTGAATAATTTACTTTGGATTAATTACTGATTTTGTAAAGAAACTAATTTTTTAATAACCAGAAACCTTGTTTTTGTATATTTTGATTATTTTTTGATTCCAGGGTAGATATAGCACACCTATGCCTTTACAACCTAAGTGTTATTCACAAGAAGAAATACTTTGATTCTGAACTTGAGCTTATGACATACATTAATGAAAACTGGGATAGATTGCACCCTGGAGAGGTAGGTGACCTTAGAACTAACTTCATTAGCTACTTGATGTTTTTTCTGTTTTGTTTTGTTATTGTTTAAAAAAACAACAACAACAACAATCTAAGAAACAAGTCATACGACCAAAGTAGAATTTTTATTTTTAGTTCTGGGGAGGAATAAATTTGATAGGGATATCAGGACCAGCTTTCTCATCCTTCTATGTTTATTTATTGCCTGTTGACTCTGGAAAATTATAGATGGAGGAAGTAAATTATTTGATTCTTCTGTATTCTAAAGTGAGAATCATTATAAAGATAGAAGGGTGGGAGAAATTCTTTGTATTGGGTGTCTCACTCATGGTTTCACCTCCTTTTCTTCTAAGAGATGTAAGCAGCTTTCTTCTTTCCTTTCTTGTTGGTACTCATATATTTCTGACTTCCAGGAATGGTGAGATCAGATAACAGGATTAGAATGATGAGTTATAGAGTGAAGCTGCCTGAGTTGGAGATTGTCCCTCCTCATTCTGAAAATCTTGTTTTGCTTCTCATTTGTGAAGCATAATTATTTACACTGGCTTTACAAAGAATTTTTCTAAAAAAAACAAACAAAGGAATATAAAGTAGTGCATGTTCATTGGAAAAGATTTTGGAACTATAGACTAGCACAAAGAGGGAAGAAATTAGAAAAATTTACCTTATTTTTAGCATTTATTTAGATTTATTAAAATACATATTATTAACTACTCTTGGTTGAAAACTAAAAAATTTGTTTCATAATATATAGAATCAGATATGTACATTTTAATTATGCATACTTTGAGATAAAAATTGTAAGTTGATTTGGAATTTAGGGAGAATTTCTTCTATTAGTTTTAGGCAAATGAAAGTTTATGGTATTTGGGGTTTTTGAGGTTTTGGGGGCCATTAGAGCATAATTTACATTTATTTAGTTGGTATATTAGCTACATAAAATAAAACAAATAACAGTACTTAAGTATTAAAATATAGGATTACTGAAATTCTATTGATAGAATGATAGAACGGTTTCAAGTGTTAGATAATTTTTAATGAAGTTTGAATGTTGTGATTTATAAATTTGAATTTCAATAAACTGACTAGTTTAATGAGAGAAAAAAAAAGTAAGGCACTAATAGTAACTATAGTGTTCTTTATAGTCATCTTAATATTTAGTGCTCCAATGCATTCATTTTAAAATTCTTCCTTTCTAGGCATGATACTTTCAGTGCTTCATATACAGATACATCTGTATACCTGGTGTGCCATCTTCAATTAAATTTTCTGATCCACAGTAAAATTTTACTTTAGCAAGTAAATGTTTTTATTATCTATAGCCTATATAGTAGTGTCTTAGAAAAAGAAGGGCTGGGGATGTAGCCCAGTGATAGAACACTTTCCTTAGCATGAGATTGAAGATTCAAGCCCCAGTGTTGTCAGGGAAAAAAAGAAAAAGAAAGGAGAAAAAAGTAAATTTAACTTAAAAAAAAAAAATATATATATATATATATATATACATATAAATAAATTGTAGTTGGATACAATATCTTTAATTAATTAATTAATTAATTTTTATGTGGTTCCAAAGATCAAGGCTAAGGCCTCGCCTACTACAGGCTAGTGCTTTACTGCTGAGCCACAACTCCAGTCCCAGATTTAACTTTTCAAAGAATGGTTGCCACTTAAGGACTTTAATCATTCCTCACTGCTTTCTTGGAGTTAAAATAAGAAAATACTTTTTAGTTGAGTTGTCTCATCAACAGACTAATTACTGATAATTGACATTCAGGTTTTTAATTCTCAGTCTTTTACATTTTTTTTATTGTAATTACAACTAGATTTTAGGGTGATATTTTAGTAATGAAATTATAAATTTTTTGCTTATCTATGTTTTTCAGTGTTTCATTTAGTTTACTTTTAAATATGAAACAAAGATGGACGTATTTGAATAAGAAGACCTTGTTTCATTGGAATTGAATTGCAAATTGAATTTTGTTACTGATCTAACTTAAGGTTTATCAAAATTTTTTCCATAAAATTCCATGAACTATTTTCAAGACATAGGAAATAGTATATACTAAATGTAATATTTTGTAATTTAGTACCTTGGAGTTTTCAAGAGTCATTTTGAACATCAACTTTTATTATACATAGTATAGATTATATTGCTGTAGAAGTTTCTCTTCAATAATGAGATAAAACACAGCAGAAGTGTTATGATTTCTATTCTCTCTTAAATGTGGAGTTTCCTCCCTTTGCTTAGATGAAAGAAAGACATCTTGTGATAATGTTAAAAAGTTAGATTATGGGCTGGGGTTGTGGCTCAGCGATAAGAGCACTTGCCTAGCATGTGTGAGGCACTGGGTTCAATTCTCAGCACCTCATATGAATAAATAAAATAAAGGTCCATCAACAGTTTTAAAAAATGCTAAAAAAAAAAGAATCAAGCTTATTGACATTCATATGGTAAAGTTTATTAAAAAAAAATTACTTTTGTGACATTTTGGCTAGGAATGTACATTTTGTCCCTAATCACAGAGAGGAACTGAATCCATATTTACCATTGCTGAGCTTTGAATTCAAACCTAATTTAATATATAATGACACTAGATGAACTATAATGGTATTTGTTATTTATATAACATACCTCTGTAATTACTTGCTGTAATTTTATATTGAATTGGTTGTATTCTGTTTAGTGTATTGTGCTTTCTTCTTCTTTTATTTATTTATTTATTTTTTTGGATTGTCATTGTCATGAAGGAAATACTGTATTCTGTTTTATCTATTTATTTTTTGTGATACTGGGCATTGAATGGAAGGCCTTGTACATGCTAAATAAGCACTCTACCACTGAACAACATCCCCAGCCCCTCTTTTATATTAAAGGCTATTTTTAGAGGAGATTTAGGTTCACAGCAAAATTGAGAGGAGGGTACACTCCTCCACTTCTCCTACATATAACATTGCCTCCTTCATTGGCAGTATCCCCCACCAAAGTAGTACATTAGTTGAAATTGATGAACCTGCATTGACACATTATTATCACTCAAAGCTGTGACTTCTTTTAATTTAAAAAAAAAAAAAAAGTTTCAAAGTTAAACTTGTTTGTAGGTAATCCTTTCATATTGAAAGGCGTATTTGACTCTCATGTATCATATCTTTTCTGTTGTTAGTTTTATAGGGTTGCTGTGAAGGGAAGCAAAAAACTTTTAAAACCATGTTAGAAGATAGTGATATTTTAATATCATATTTCCTTATGTAGTTTTTTTAAAAGTATCTTTATTTTTTAAATTTATTTTTATGTGGTGCCGAGGATCGAACCCAGTGCTTCACATGTGTGAGGCAAGCGCTCTACTGCTGAGCCAAAAACCCCAGCCCCAATCCTTACGTAGTTTTTGTACATCTTTGAGATTTGGTTTTTTAATGATTATCATATAGACTGAGTGTAGTAATGTAAGTAGCTACAGTATTTTGAAATGTTTTCTTTTTAATGTAAAAATCTACCATTTGAGACCACAATAAGGATTTCTTATTTAAAATGAAGTGTCACTGTTGTATTAGATTGCTTTGAGGAGTTTAAAAGGAGATGGGAAGTGTGTGCCTGGGATTGAACTCAGGGGCATTTGACCACTGAGTCACACTCCCAGCCCTATTTTGTATTTTACTTAGAGACAGGATCTCACTGAATTGCTTAACACCTTGCCATTGCTAAGACTGGTTTTGAATTCAGGATCCTCCTTCCTCGGTCTCCCAAGCTGCTGGGATTATAGGCATGTGCCACCAAGCCCAGTTTAAAAAGAGATGTTGGTACTTTTTTGGATTTACCTCTTGTCAATTGTATTATTATTATTATTATTATTATTATTTTGGTGATACTGGGAATTTAACCCAGGAGTGCTCTACCACTGAGACCTACGTCCAGTCCTCCCTCCTTTAATTTTGTTTTTAGTTGTTGAAGGACCTTATTTTATTTACTTGATTATATGTGGTGCTTAAAATTGAACCCAGTGCCGCCTCACACATGCTAGGTAAGCACTCTACCACTGAGCCACCACCCGAGCCCACCTCCAGCCCTTTAAAAAAATTTATTTATTTATTTATTTTTTTAATTTTTATGTGGTGCTGGGGATCGAACCCAGTGTCTCATGCCTTCTATGCAAGTAATCTACCACTGAGCCATAACCCTGGCCCCAATCTTTGATTCTTTAATAACATACTTTACATTAACTGTGGTCTTAAATTTAAAAACCCTAAGGTTGATAGTAGAAAAATATATGTGCTGTCTTAAACTTTTGAGGGAGGTAGGGAGAAAAGCATAAATGAAACTCAGTGAAATACCATGGTAGAAATATTTTGCGAGAGAAATGTTTAGTATAATTAAGGTAGTAAAATATTTTAAAGTGAAAAATAACAAGAAATCTGATTAATAGCAATACTTGGGACACAGAATGTTATTTATTAGTATATAAGTTGGAAAATAAACTGTTGGCATGTATAAGCCTAGGTGGTATAGAATTCAGCATTAGTAATGGAGGGTTGTATTTTATTGAAATGAAGAGTTAGTAATAGCATGTAAGTTTGTATAGAAATGTATAAAACTGAAAATAAAAGTATAGTATGAGGTAAGTGTAGAAAGGTTGGAGCAAGAAGATTTCTGTTTTGGAGATATGTTACCAACTTTGATCATATGAATATGATACTTTTCAACTACATTTGATACGATTTATACTATTAAGTTACATTTTTAGTTTGCAAAGCACACAAAGGGAACATCTGGTCCTTATGTGAGTAAAATATATAGTCCTATGCAAAATAATTATGGAGTTCTATAAAACTTTTGAGAAACCATAGGAAATAAGTACCAAAAGTAAAGGGAGTTCTTGTGATTTTCAAAAAATAAGAGGATTTCAACAACTAGAAACTCAGTTTTGTTGTTGATTCTTAACAAAATTGCATATATCAGATATATGACTTGTGAAGATTTAAAAAAAGCAATAAAAAAACCCCTATTAGAATAAAGTGTGTTAAATACCCTAGTTTCTTTGTTGATATGATTAGGAATATTTGTCAAATTCTGTGGGCATGGCATAGACGTAGTATAACTTGATCTTAGATAAGATTTTGAAATGTGAACTAATTAAAGTGGAAATTAATGGGCAACTTGTTGAAAAACAGTAACAAAATCAATGACTTAGATATTCTTGAGGAAGACTGTAATGGAAGGCCATAGGGATTCTCTGTTTGTACCCTCAATTCAAGAAAGGTGTCAGAATCCAGAGAAAAGATCCTCTGGAATAATTAGAGTTAAAAACAAAAATTAACAGTTATAAAGTACTGTTTTTAGGCATAAACACAAACAGTACAGAGGATACTTGATAGTAGTTCCAATTTGATCTTAGATTTGTGGTGGTGAGTGGGGAACAGGAAGAAGATAAAAACTTTACCCTAATCCAATACTTAGGCATGATAACTGATTTCAAATATTTGAACGGCTGTCTTGCTAAAGAGGGAATAGAAAACTTCAAGGGAGATTTTGCTTACATATGGAATAGGCTTCATTAGTAGGTGTATCAGCCTTTCTCTGCCTACCTGCCTGCCTTCCTCACCCCCTACCCCTGTAATTTTCTCTCCTCTCTTTCTTCCTTTCCTCCCTCTCTTTTGTGGTACTGGGGATTAAACTTGAGCCTTGCACCTGCAAGTGCTCTACCATTGAACTGGACCCCTAACCCTGTGTATCAGCTTTTATCAATGGTAATAATAAAGCTAAGATTGAATGACTAGCTCTCTTATAAAAAGAGATTGCACTTTTGGTGGGAGGTTGAATTAGATCTAGAGTTTAAGCTTTATAAAGTATGATTTTTTTCATTCTTCTGTAAATAGAAATTCTTGGGCTGGGGGTATAGCTTAGTGGTAGAGCACATGCTTAGTATGTGTGTGGGCCTGGATTCAATTTTCAGCACTGAAAACAGAAGAAATTTTCTATTATTGGACATCTCATAAATTACAGTAGGAGGAGATGGTATGATGATCTGAGCTTGTTCATGTATTTTTTTGTTTTTAGCATCAATCAGAGTGGCACATAGTGGGATTTCAGTCAGTGTTGGAAGAATGGACTTGAAAGTCATTTGGGTTGAGGCTTTAGCTCTCTCCCTAACTAGCCAAGGGAATTTGAACAGTTCTTTTAACCTTTATATTTATTAACTCATCTGTTAAAGAGTTGGAATAGATAGTTTTTAAGTCTCCAGTATTATTTTAGGCAGATTTATTTGCTCTTTCATTTAAAACAATTCTAAGGTTTGATAGTCAGCTGGTAAAGTTGGCTATAGTTTAAATGCCAACTGTGATACTTTGTTTATAACTTAACATTTTTTTGTTAATAGGTCCCAGTCTTTAAACTTTGAAGAAGAGGTGGAAAAGTCTCTGGGGAAAATTGTTATTGGAACAATATAGAATATTTTATAGAATTGGATATTTAGTTAAAATGGTTTATGATGAAAAATTGCTAAGCATTTAGGGCCATTTAAAGTCTATAATTGTTATGAAACACTGCCCCCCATTTCACATTTTTTTCTACTTATGATCATATTGGAGGTATTGGGAAATGAAGTGTTTCTCATTACTTTTTAGACCCCTTTATATTGATATGTTAGGAGCTTTCATGTTATATATTAAAATAATTCTAATGTATTTTCCCCCCAGGTTATAGAATTTTAAAAATTGAGTGATAACTAATACCAAGGTCCCATTTTTATTAGTGTTCATAGTTTTCAGTTCTTTCACAGACATCATTTTATCCATATAATGAACTAATAATTAAACTCTACTTTTTGTAGTTGAGAAAATAAGCCTGGAGAGATTAAATGACCCTGAGTAGATCACATAGTCAGTGAGCACCTGGAATTAGAATTTAGGTCTTCAGACTACTAGTCAATGTACTTTTCCTCTTCTTCATATTGCCTCTATCTAGTACCTGTATATTACTAACTGATGAAATTGTAGTGCGTTAAATTGTTTCTTGATACTTCACAGCTGGCAGACACACCAAAATCTGAAAGATATGAGCATGTTCTGGAGGCATTAAATGATTACAAGACCATGTAAGTTGATTTGTTTTATGTAACCCTATGAGGGAGACAGTTAGTAAGTATAAGGAATTATGGCGTTGTTTAAGAATTGTGGGATTGGTATCTAGAATACCATTTAAAACTTTTGATGTCCTAAATCTCTTTTGGTCAGAGTAAAGTAGAAATTCCTGAGGGTTGGAGAAGGAAGAGTAAGCCTTCTTTTGGGAATGGTAGGAGGGAGGCATATCAGTATCTTCCGGGGGGGTGGGGGGGAATTTGGTCCATTCTGTTGAAAAAGCATATTCAGTAGTAGCTTACTTCTACAATGCAGTCTACTGCAAGTAAAATAAAATCTTGCTAGCAGGTAAGAATATGCAAAACATAGCGGAAGATTTTATAGAGAATATAAGGTTTTTAAAGGATTAAGATCTCTGGTTTTAAAATTACTTATAGAAAAGAATATTACTGGTATGAGTGGTCTATAATAATTGACATTATTTGATATATTCTTGTATAGATCACCTTCCTTTTTTAAAAACCAGCATATCTATATTTCCTGAAAATATTTCAAAATGCCATAGGAATTTTATGTGTGCTGACTCAAAACTATTGAATAACATTATAAAATTCTTGTTTCAAACAAGTTGCTGTGTTAAACATGACAGCATCAGAATTGCTTTTTCATAGTTTATATTAGAAAGGTATATATACTAAAGCAAAAAGAAATATACCTGACAGCATTTCCTCATTAAATAATGTTTTAATTTTTAGTGGCTAGAGCTTTAGAGTAGTTGGAAAGCCATAAGGGTACCTGAGCAATTATTGTACAGGTAAAAATATTCTGTGGGACAGTGAATTCTGAACTTAGGGTGCCAGAAACACAGCTGTTCTTATTGTGGTTGAAATGGGGGCTTCTCATTCCTGTATTAAAGTGGAAGAACATGCCCAATTGCCAGAGAGAGGTTCTTGTAGCCAGGGAGGTTTGAAGTAGTTGAAGGTATTTGGAAATAGGAATCCCAAAGACTAAAGACAAGGGCTAGGGAACATATTTTTCAGAGGCCCAAGTCCACACTCCACTTAAAAAAAAAAAATTTTTTTTTTCTCTGCTCTAAGTTTTTCCAACTTCAGATGTGACACTGAATGTCGACACTCCTTTTATTTTGGGCACCTTTAGAATTGTCTTTCCCAATGTGGTCACTCATTATTCCTGACCAGATTTCCTCTCTTTGCACATTTATTCTGAAATAGATTTCTTCTTTTCCTAAACACTTAGAGATTTTGTTTTTTCTAGTAGGTGACACTAAAATGTGGAAAAATTTATTGGGACTAAAAAAGATAATATTTTGTGTTCATCTTCCTTGCTTTAGGAACTTACACATACACTTCTCCCCCTTTTTCTTTTTTCTTTGAGTTGCGGTCTCATTATATTGCCCCATCTAGTGTCAAACTCCTATGCTCAAGTGATCCTCCTACCTCAGCTTCCTAAGTACTGGGCCTTAGGCGCGCTCCACCATGCCTGCCCTTCACGCCCTGTTTTTAAAAGTGGACATCTCCTTTTCTCCCTTATAGTCCTATCTTTTCTCCCATGCTATCCTATTGTGGACTGGCTCTGAGGCAGATAGTTATCAAGGAAAGCAAAGGGTAAAAAGGAGTTTTTGTAGTATTGGTGGGCTTTTGTGTCTAAGGACCTTATATCTGAAAGTTAAAAAGTTAGGGTCTGCCATGTATATGTGTTCAGTTTTTAAAATTTTAGTTAATTTTTTTAAAAATTTAGGTTTATGTCTGGGAAAGAAATAAAGAAGAAGAAGCATTTGTTTGGGTTGCGAATTCGTGTTCCTCCTGTGCCACCAAATGTGGCTTTCAAAGCAGAGAAAGAACCTGAAGGAACATCCCATGAATTTAAAATTAAAGGCAGAAAGGCATCCAAACCTATATCTGATTCAAGGTAAAAGTTGATCTGTGGCTTAGTTTTTCTCTTTAGCTTATGTTTTAACTAAAAATGTATGTTATTTAGTTTCATTAGTATATTTGAAAGTACAAGTGGCAGTTACCTTGATTTATTATTTTTTTCCCCTGTCCATAATTTCTTTCTTAGACAAGGTATGAAGAGTTGATACTAGATGTATGTATGTTTGTTTATTTTAGACCTTTGGCCTCAAGGAATAGACCCTGTTGATTTTGCTAGCAAACAGCTTAAATTACTGGCCTGTTCATTTGTTTGTTCATTTATTTTTATTCATTCATTCATTCATTCATTCAGCACATTTACCAAATGCCTGATTATATAAGTGCTGGGAAAACACAACAAGACAGATTTTCCTTCTGCCCTGGTGGGCTTTATATTATATGGGGAAAAAAAGGTAATAACAGTAAAATATTTACTGATCTGCTAGTGCTATTTAAAGAAATTGCACACTATTTTAGACTTTAGTAGGATCAGAAGAAATGGGGTCTTTGTACTTTAAAAGGGAGACTTAAGGAAGGACTATTTAAGACAGTATTAAGGTTTAGGCTTAGTAAGAATGGGGAAGAATAAGAATGATCTAAAAATATGAAGAATAAAGGGAAAAGCACTCTATAACAAGCATAAAGGCCATGAGACATTCTAGGAACTCACAGAAGTCTAGTATGGCATTATCAGGGAGTTGTATTAGATTTTGGGAAGATTGGGTTGGTCTTCATCTTGTAGAGTCTTGTAAGTCTCAAGAAGACTTTGGGTTATTTTCTAAGAACATTGAGGAGCCATTTAAGGGATATAAGCAGATTTAATTATCAGAATTTCTTTGGATACGCTTTTGAGAATGCATTGTATAGAGATAAAAACATGGAAGAGAAAATACTTTTGGAGTTGTTTGGGTGAGAAATAGAATAGGTGGTAACAATCAAATGGAGAGAAAAGATTTGAGATCTCTTTTCAAGGCAGAATTGATTGAACTTGCTGTTAATTAAATTCATGAGAGAAAGGGAGGAAATGATTAAATGATTTCTGAATCTAGCTACTCATGGGTGGTGGTGTCTATTAACAGGATATGGAAAAACATTATTTTGGCAAAGTGAATGAAGCACTTTTCTGTTTTATACTCATTGAGTGAAATTCTTATGAAGGACATTTAAATGGTGGTGTGACACTTAGGCAATTAGATATGTGAGTCAAGAGCTTTTAGGAGAGCCCAGGGCAGGAAATTTGGAATGTGATTTATAAAGAAAGCCATGAGAATGCATGAAATCATCTAGGAAACAAGTGGAGCAGAGAATGTGACTCAGAATAGTGGCATCATTTATAAATTTGGAGAGGTAAAATAAACAAAAAAGAATGATCAGTGAGTTTGGAGAAAACCAGAAAAGTTCAGTGTTATAAAAACTAAAAGAAATAGAGTGTTTCAAGAAAAATTAATATATTAAGCTGTATTGGATGATGGTGAGAGGTGGATTAAGATGAGAGAAAAATGCTTATTGAATAACATTTTGTATCAAAAATAATTTATTTGGAGTAGTAAAGATACAAGCCAGAAATGTTACTGATTTTAGCAGTTCCTAATTTACATGTCAAAACTGGGCTTCTACACATGAGGAACATAAGAAGATTCAGAATAATGATAATAAAGGAAGTGGCGGAAGGAAACTACCTTTAAGAATTCTGAATGACAGTGGAGAAAGTGGAAGGGGTAAATGTCATCAAGGCTCAGACAGTTTTTACTGTGAACTGAAGAAGACAAATGGAATAGCAGCCGAAGAGGGGAGGGATGGGAAATAGTATATATATATATATATATATATTTTTTTTTTAATTGATGGGAGATAATTAGAATCTCTTTCTTTACACTAATAGGAATGATCCAGTGGAGAAGAGGATATTGGTATAGGAGAGAGTGGAACTAATTGAAGATATTGTAGCACCTTTGAGAAAGGGATCTAGAGCATCAATGGGATATGGCTTTGATAGAAGGAGAAACACCTTTCTGTTGAAATGTGGTGAAAAAGAAGATGAGTATAGATAGATACTGGTTGTATTACACATTGGAAAGTTGGAAGATGACTAAAAACAAGTTGGTAGCTTCTATTTTCTTAGTGGAATATGAAGTAAAAATTATAGCTCAGAGTTACACAGAGAGAACAACCTAAAGAGTAAATAAAATAGTCATCTTGGAGAGTAAGAAAATGTAATTACAAAATGTTGGTGATGTATCATAGCAATTTGTAGTTTGTAATAAAGCAGATAAGACTGTAAGGTTTCTTTCAAGAAGGAAAAAAATGCTTACTATTCCTATTACTTTTAAATGCCATCACTTTAATCTTTTTCTAGTAGTTGTCCATATTATGAATTAGGAAAAAAAATCCACAAATTTTCTTTCTCATTGCTATGATGATTTTGATACGATGTTCCATCAATAGCAGCTCACCTATCAGATCATTTGGTGCTACCACATAAGGATTCAACTTTGAATGTGTCCTCAGTTTCTTCTGGACCCTATGTATGGATTGATCCTTTTAGTATGAGAGTATTTTCTTAAGTACAGTGGTCCTTTATAAATGTTATTTTTTTAAAAAAGAATTTCATCCATCTTATCCTTGAAACTTTTGATTATATCTAGTTCTGCTTTGTTCTTCTTTTCCCCCCACTTTTTCCTTCCTCATACTTTCTTTTTATTCCCTGACCTTAGTTTGGCATCTTGTGGGATAGGATTTTCCTCCCCGACCCTTTTTTGACTCTTCCTAACTTATTATTATATAGTATTTTTCATTTCCCCTTTTTCCATAATTGAATTTTCCTGGGTAACTTTCTCACAGTACCCCATTTTATTAGCTTGCTTGTATAAATATTTGTTAACTTCTAATTATTATTATGAACCCCTTTGCACCAGTAACATCTTTGTATTCCTGTCATCTAATATCTTCTTTCCATAATAGTTATTTTTTGTTAAGTAAATGAAATACATGTTCTGTATATTGCTATTTGCTTCTTCTTCCCTTCTATTAGATATGTCCTTGGCTACTGTACTTTCTGCTTTATTTTGCTTAATATTTGTGTTTGTCTTTCAATAATGATTTTCCAAATCTTAAGTTTACCCTATGAATGGCTCCCTGCCATTCATTGCCATTCAATGAAGGATTCTTTATTCCTTTCTCCTTTACATTCTGCCAGTCTGGGCTTCATCCTCTTTCTGATAGTTTCATTCAAGGGGGAAAAAAAAAAAATCTGTATTGATAGCTACTATAATTTTAACATAGTTACTAAGGTTAACTACCAATTTCAGTAATTTTTAGAAGTAATTTCTCAAAAAATGCCTCAAGTAGGAACAATCTAAACCAATTAATTAAACTTTTAAAAACATTTGAAATCTCTCTTATCCAGTATGGTTGTTCGGTTGGTTGTTGTTTTTTAAATCTTTAGGTGCTATGTATATTCCAGAACTAAAGAGAACATTTTTTTTCCTTAAACCTTTCTTACTGTAAACCTTTCATAATCTCAAGTTAAGAAATATTTATTTAAAATTAGAATGTATTATCTATACCTATAAACTAGTAGATCCAGTTTACATTTAATATAGTTTTTGTTGACATTAATATAAAAGTAAAATCTGTATATATTTAAATACATGTGTAAAACTATTTTCTTTTTGTTTCCTTTATGCAGAGATTAAATACATAATGGTTTTCTGTTTCAGAGAAGTAAGCAATGGAATAGAAAAAAAAGGAAAGAAAAAATCTGTAGGTCGTCCTCCTGGCCCATACACAAGAAAAATGATTCAAAAAACTGCTGAGCCACCATTGGTAAGAGTTTATTTTGATATATATTCTCAGAGAGGAAGAATGAATGAAATTACTAAGAAGCTAATGTTTTTACTTACTGTAGACTTATGCTTTAAGTATATATTTTTTCTTTTCCAGGATAAGGAATCAGTTACAGAGAGTCCTACCTTGGATTTACCTTGTTCTATAGGGTAAATAGAAAGTTATTTTCTTCTTTCTTAGGGAAAAAAAGTTTTGGGGGGTGATTAGTATTTCTATTGTTATGTAATATAGTTGTTATACCATTTAAATTCTTTTGTCTCAGGAGAACTGAGGGTCCTGCACATTCTTCTAATACCTCAGATGTGGATTTCACGGGTGCTTCCAGTGCAAAAGAAACTACCTCGTCTAGCATTTCCAGGCATTATGGGTAGCCATTTTATGTTTTTATTCTGTAACAATTTTCTCTTGGATGTGCACACCCCACCCCTACCCCAGTGGTGATTGAATAGTCTTGTCTTTCAGAGGCAGTTGATAGAAGGATTTAGAGACTGTGCCCTTTCTCTTAGGCCTTTTAATGTTGCTGTTAACAAAAGTGTCTTGCTGATTTTTTAAAAAATAATTCGAATCGTGTCTGATTTATCAGATACTGATAAGCCTTGTCAATTAAAGGATTTTAAATTTGGAATTGTAAAAATATATCAGTCCCCTTTATTAAAATTTTATTTAACCCAACTCTAGAAGGACACATTTTTCCAAAACCATCATATCAATATGAAAAGTTAAGTCTACTTGAGGTCGGAATTACTTGTTTTCAAGTTTTACACATTCTTAAAGTTTTATTCACAATTCAAAAAATGATCTTTTAAATAATGTAACATTCTAAATTCAAGAGCTAAAATGTGATAATGTGAGCTTTGTTTTGGTAAGGGGTAGGGATTCAACTTGGGGGCATTCAACCACTGAGCCACACCCCCATCCATTTTTTGTATTTTATTTAGAGACAGAGTTTCATTGAGTTGCTTAGCGCTTTGCTAAGTTGCTGAGGCTGACTTTGAACTCAGCATCCTCCTGCCTCAGTGTCCTGTGCCACTGGGATTACAGGTGTGTGCAACCATACCTAGCATGAGGTATTTTTTTTTTTTTTTTTTTGCCCTTTAATTAGGTACTCTGCTAAGCTTTTTATATAAATTTTTTAATTTAATTCTTCAAATAATTTTTTAGTTATAGGTTCTCCATTTTATATTTTAGGAAACAGTTTAGGGTATCAAATGTTAAGTCCACTGTCACATGTTTAGCATATATCACAGCTGGATTGTTAGGAAATTATGATTGTGGGGCAGGAGTTATAGCTCAGGGGTAGAGCGCTTGCCTTGAACTTGTGAGGTACTGGGTTTGATCCTCAGCATCTCATAAAAAAAATTAAATAAATAAAGATATTCTGTATTTAAAAAAAATATATCTTTAATTAAAAAAAAAAAAGGAAATTGTGATTGTAAGCAAGTGCAATGCCACATGCCTGTAATCCCAGCAGCTCGGGAGGCTGAGACAGGAGGATCTCGAGTTTAGAGCCAGTCTCAGCAAAAGTGAGGTGCTAAGCAACTCATTGAGACCCTATCTCTAAATAAAATACAAAATAGGTTTGGGGATGTGGCTCAGTAGCCAACTGCCCCAGAGTTCAATCCGTGGTACAAAAATTAAAAAAAAAAAAAATGTTATTGTAAAGTTTTTGAATTTAGCTGTCATGCTGTATTCTCCTTTTTTGTTATAATATCATAAAATCAATTGCTTGCATTTGTTTGAAGAAGATCTCAAACATATAGTTTAACTCCTTCACTTAATTCACTAAAACCACCTTTATTCTAATTTTATTATTTAAGCACATGGAACAGGGTCTTATGTAGTTGATCTTCAATATTTGTTTTAGTGAATGAATGGATGATTTTTTAAAAGTTTTTTATTTTATTGTTTTTGCTTTTTTTGATGATGAGATTATTAAAAATATATGACTTATAGCCTTTTGGTAAGAATTTGCCTCTTGAACTCCTAGCTTAAAACTTACTTTTTTTTTTTTTTAAGCTTAATAGTGTCTAGTTAGGAAGAAACACTATACAAAAGTGCTGGACTCTGAAATAAGGAAAGCAAGTGATTGTCATTTATTGCTGTAGTTTGGCTGATTTTTATGTAAGCAAGGGTGTGTACTTAAGAGTAGAATGATCCCCAAAACCAGAGAACATCTGTGGGCAGAGGATGTTTTAAAAACTTAGACAATTTTGGCCTTTTCTGTTACATAGGTTGTCTGACTCCAGAAAAAGAACTCGCACAGGAAGATCTTGGCCTGCTGCAATACCACATTTGCGGAGAAGAAGAGGTCGTCTTCCGAGAAGAGCACTCCAGACTCAGAACTCAGAAATTGTAAAAGATGATGAAGGCAAAGAAGATTATCAATTTGAGGAACTCAACACAGAGATTCTGAATAACTTAGCAGATCAGGAGTTACAACTTAATCATCTGAAAAACTCCATTACTAGTTATTTTGGTGCTGCAGGTAGAATAGCATGTGGCGAAAAATACAGAGTTTTGGCTCGTCGGGTGACACTTGATGGAAAGGTGCAGTATCTTGTGGAATGGGAAGGAGCAACTGCATCCTGACTGTAGGACTGAACATTATGTTCACTGCACTCTCATTTTATGTAGGTATCGTTCAAAGTCCTAAAGAAGTCTGGCTTTTAACTCTTTCTTAAAACAACAAGAACAACAACAACAAAAATCACAAAAGAAGATGATACTAGCCTTAACATGTACTTGTTGATGTTATGGATATTGTCATAAAAAGATATCTTTTACAAATCAGAACAGAGACTTAATTTTTTAAATCTTAAGATTTGTAGAATGTTTCTAGGATAGGATATTAAAATTGATTCAAACCCATGCATGGTGTTAGATAATTTTTCTAATTATTCCATTGAGTCAGTTTTTGTGATTAGTGGTTATCAGAGCAAACAGATCATGTAGATAGCACAAGTCTTTGGAGAAACATTGTCTGTTTTGTTACCAAAATGTTGGAAGAAATTTATTTCAATACCTTTTAGATTTCATAAAGTGCAGTGTATATAATGCCTACTGAAAGACTGTAAAATATTGAAATTTTCTTTCAAGCAAAGTGTAAAAAAAAATATATTGAGCCTGTAAATTGCTCTGTGACTAGACTTCATTGTCGTCTTAATATATTCTTTGCATGTACATATATATACACATGTGTGTATATATATGTGTGTGAATATGTGACCTATGCAATACAAATTATGGGAATGGGCAGCTTTGGAGTATATATCCCATAATTCTTTATTTCAGGAATAGTTGCAGTATTTACACAGCAGCATTTCTTCTCAGGCTTTTATTGGGTGCTGTTGCTTGCTATGTATGAAGAGAAATGTGTCAGACAAGTTTAGTGTGTACTGAAGAAGGGTGTGAACAACAGTGTTCATGGGCTTTTAGAATGCTTTTCACTTTCAGTCCTTGTAACTCAGCTGTTCGATACCTAAAACAAATTCAAATAATATCAACATCTCCTTTTATAAGTAACGTTTTCAAATTTTCATGGCACATTATGATTGTAAATGTCTCTCAGTTTTAACAGTAAGTCTGTAGGAGTCCCGTGAAGATTCCTGAAATGTCTGTAGTAACTGTTAGTAATGTTTGAATAAGTGTAGTATGAACAAAGTATTTTATTGCACAGGGTTAACAAACAGTATGTTGCCAGCTAAGGCTACTGCTGTTTTTTTTTACAACATTACCTCTTGTTTTTATAAAATGTACCAAGATTTAAATTGATAACTTTATTTTACGTGTAAAAAAAGAAAATAGTTTCTTTTATCACCAGTGTTAGAGTTGCCTTGTTTCTTTTTGTTTTGTTTTGTTTTTGTTTTCTTTCTTAGCCAAAGAGTAAACAGAAGAATATTCTTATTTTGGTGGCTATTCATTTTACTTTTACAAAATGGCTGGTGGATTTTAGACTAATAATTGGGGAATTTGCCACCAAAATGAAAAATATATAAAGTGTAGTGATGACAGAGTGGTAAAAATGTGGGTTAGTACTTATTTATTCCATTAATTGATTATTTGACTGTTTGTAAAGAAAGTTGCTTTATTTCTTTAAACATCTTCAAAAGATGACTTTTTCTCGTCACATAGCCAAAAGAAGCAGAGAACTGCGTTGTCCTGCATTTGGTTCCTGGTTGACCAGGTATAAATGAGCTTTACAAAAGTGCAAATTAAAAACTGTCACTTCTGTTTACCTCCACCAAAACTTGATTTCCCCCTAGCTATTAATTTAAAGTTGCCTTTCCTTGCAGCTGCAATATTTTGAATAACACACAGAGTTTGTGTTGATTTTTGAATGTTTGTTTATGTCTAGGGGTAATGGAAAATGTAAATCCCGTGTAACCTTATTCACTCCACCTGTATCATATTACTTCATTTCCCCCAAAGTCCTTGAATTCTAACTGAACACCAGCAGTATTTTTAGTAACTCTTTCTTTAACATACTTGGAAGACAATTTATTGAGCTGAACTGTCTTTAGACGTAATTATTGTGAATGTCTGTTTTATTTTATCATGGTGGTTCACATGGCTCTGATGTTCAGTTTGTATTTTTGGAATTGCTTTACTTAGAATTAAAACAGACCAACATTAAATGTGTGTATTTTTTAAAGAGCTAATGAGTTTTGCTTTTGTATTTGCTTGAAAATACACACTAGTGCAAAGTTGACTGCTTTTATTTAGCTAAGGAGGCAAGGATTTTCTTACTCCACTGCAGATACGTTTACTTGAATTAATCTTTATGAAACTTTGCTTTTGTTTTCTTCTTGTCCCTCACGTGATATTAGTAATTATAGCATGTTCATCTTAAATGGTTTTTTTTTTTAAAATAAGATAATATTTAGCCAGCTTCCATACTTCAAAGAGAATATGTCTCTTTCTACCTTGTCCTCAAACTTCAAAAAAAAAAAAAAAAATTCAGTCTTCCCAACTATTTATTTTCTTTTTGCTTATATAGAAGATGTCAGGGTTCATATAAAAGAATGTCCTATTTTTTTAAAAAAAACTTTGCCCTTAGACTACAGAAAGATGTAAAAATAATCCACTGTATTCATTTTAATCCAAAATAAATAGATTTTAGTAAGTACTGTAGTAGGAAGTGACAAACATGGATTCTTGGACTCTTTAATAACCAGACTAGAGCACAATAGGCGTAATCAGAATTATTCTATAAATTATGATCAAGTCAGATATTTAGTAATGATAACTCTAGCAATATCTGACTTGATCATAATTATAGTATAAGAAGTGAGTAGAGAAACTGGATACTAAGTAACACCATATTTGTCTAGTATCCTCAAGGAATGAGATGTGTCCTTCAACAGATTTTTCCACTGGATTTAAAGCAAACCAATAAAAGCCTTCACAAATGATATAAAATGTACTTTTTGTTAGAACAAAAAAATACATGTTCGAAATCACTAATCTACTTTTTGTTTCTTGTATTTACTAGAAGATATTGAATTGCTTTTTTTTCTCCACCCTATGACATTCCTTCTCAATTGGGGGGGCATGATATATTATCATCAAATGGGCAAAATTAGTTTAGGTAATTACACAAACCTTAGGTAGTGGATTTAAGCCCTCTGAAGTTAAATCCTACCTGTCAAAACTATTTTGTTTCTTATTATTTAATTACTATTTTTATGTTTCCTTAGTTATTACATGAGCAGCTTTAACCTTAAGGTTATGTACCCTGCACAAGTTATGAAACTATAGCAAACAGTTAAGTTTTGGAGGAGCAATTGTTTGATATTGGAAAACATTTGAGTTTGCACGTGCCTGATCTTGGCCACTGGTTCCCTTCTGGATGTTGTCAGTTTGATACTCAGCACTTCTCTGTATGACCTGGGCTAGATAATTAAACTAGTTTATATTTTGTTGTTTTATTTTACCAAGGGGATTCAACCATTTATGTGCTAAAAAGATAAAATGTTAAAAATTTGAATATTTTGAAGCTTGTTAAAAAGTTCAAAAAAAAAAATGGGGAGAGGTTGTGTACTAGGGATTAAACCCAGGGCCTCGCACATATTTAGGGCACTTAAAAAAAAATAGCAAACAGGGGCTGGGGTTGTGGCTCAGTGTTAGAGTGCTTGCCTAGCAATAAATGAATAAAATAAAGGTCCATCAACATCTTTAAAAAAAAAAAAAAAAGAAAAGCAAGCAGAGGTTAAATCTAAGCCCATTGGCCAGGAGTGGTGGCACACACTCTGTAATCCCAGTGGCTTGGGAGGCTGAGGCAGGAGGATCACAATCCAGTCTCAGCAACTTAGTAAGGCCCTAAGCAACTTAGTGAGAGACTGTCTCAAGAAACAAGAAGGCCTGGGGATGTAGCTCAGTGCTAAAGCACCCCTGGGTTTAATCCTTATTGCTGATACAAAAGAAAAAAAAAATGCCCACCAGGAGCCCTCCTAACACACACACATACAAAAACAGAAACAAACAAAAAAACACCCTTTTTTGGGGGGTTGTTTTGGTGGTGTAAGGTATTAGACTCAGGACCTCTAGCACTGAGCTATATTTCCTTAGCTGCCTCATACTTTTTAAAAAAATTTGAAATTGGGGAGGCTCACTAAGTTGCCAAGGCTTGGTCATTAACTGGTAATCCTCCCGCCTTAGTCTCCTGAGGCACAGGAATTACTGGTGTACACACCACATCTGGCTGTAAAAATAAGTTTAATGGGGCACAGTGATGCACACATGCAAACCCAGCCACACAGGAGGCTGTGGGCAGGAAGATGGAGAGTTTGAGGACATCCTGGACAACATTTTTCAAAATAGAAAGGACTGGAGACATACCTTGGTGATTAAAAAGTGCCCCTGGATTTCATCCCCAGTTTAAAACATTAAAGAATTGTTTTGAAAGAAATGAACATTTTCAAAAGTTTTACTTTTCATGTAAAATAGCATTTTTAAAAATGATTTAAGGGCTGGGGATATAGCTCACTTGGTAGAGAGCTTGCCTCACATGCACAGGGCCCTGGGTTCAATCCTCAGCACCACCACCAAAAAAAAAAAAAAAGATTTTAAAAAACAACTCCTGGATATTCTGTACATAAGTCACTGATTTACACAGTTTGATATATATCACTTTTATAAGTAAATTAATTATTAGATTTACTCAAAATGCAATTTAATAACAGCATCTAGAATTGATAGTGGGGTTGTAATCAATATTGTTTTAATCACTAATTGACATATTTGTCTTTGACATTAGTGGATGTAAGGTAATCTTTCCTATACAGAATTTGCATAAATACCTTGTAAATACATCTTTTCTTTGAGGAGACATGGAAGTTTGAGGAGATGGAACTTGTGGGAGAATTAAGGGAGGCAAAGCCGGTTGACTCATGTAAGACTTAAAGAGGCTCTGTTTTGATTTCTACCAAGTTTTCCAGAATCTAAAAGTATATTCTATGACAAGTCCCTTGTGAAATTATACTAATTATAATTTTGTAGAACCTTGATTTTGTTATTTTAATTCCAGATATAAATTTCCTGGTGAAGAATTACATCTTTGGAAACCCATTTTTGATACCTGTTTATAAATCACACTTTGTTCTTTAAACAACTTTAAGCCAATTTAAGACCAGAACATTAAAATGCCTTCTTATTGAAGGGTTTTCTAGAATATATTAAATATTTCATACTTTAAAAATCATTTTTGGCAGGATAGTCTTTCCTACTTACTGAGATTATGAACATTGAGTATTGTGTGTTACTGTAATATGGTTGTGTTCACAGGGAACTGGATATGGATAGAAGAATCATCCTTAGATTGTGATTTTTTTTATATTTGTTTTTTCATATATATTCTGTGGGAGTCTTCATGTTTATATTCACAGTGTACTTAGTGGTTTTCTTTCCCACCTAGTTTCTAAACATTCATAATCTGCTATAGACTGGAAAGGATTTAAGCAAAGTTTTCTGAGACAAAGAGTACTCATGTAAATAAACGTTTAAACCTTAGTTAACCTACAATTATGATTTCTTTAGACTTTGAGAGTTTATTTTATAAAGAAAAAGTACATGGCTTTAAAAAATATTTACTACTCAAAAGGGCTTTTTTTATTTTGTTGCTTCCTACTTTATGAAATAGAAGGAGTTGAGGTTCTAGAAAATTGACAGCTGGATAATTGAGATATGACTATAATGTAGAGTAAGTTGACTATTTTGTAGTTCCCTATAGGACTTCACATTTCTTTAAAAATAACAAAAATTCCCTGGCAGCTATAGCACCATGGTTTTTATTAACTGGTAGCTGTAATAAGACTATAGCTCGAATTATTTCATGTGTTCTGTGTGTGATGAGAAGAAATAGTGTTTTGCCTAGCATGAACCTAGGTAATACTAGGTATTACCTAGGTAGTACTGCCAGGTGTGGTGGTGTACTCCTGTAATTCCAGCTACTGGGGGGATTGCAAGTTCAAGGCAAGCAAGATCTTGTCTCAGATTTTTTTTTTTTTTTTTTAAAGCTCTGGGGAATATAGCTCATCAGTAGACTGCCTGCTTAGTATGTGCAAGGCCTTCTGTCCAATCCTCACTAACACATCCATACACACACACACACACACACACACACACACACACACAAAGTATCATTTTAAAGAACAGCAAGTTGACAGTGACATGGTTTTATTTGCATATTTCATAGTCATAAGCTCAAAGGAACAGAGAAGAGATACGGTGTTTTAGTAGTAATTCAATATTTACACTACTGTATAGATTACATGAATTGTAATAATATTAGTAATTTGGTTATTTAGTATCTTGCAAAAATTATCTGCAATTAGTTGACCACTTGTCAATGAAGATCATGTCAACTTTCAGAGGATAATTTTTATTATTTTATTTCACTTAAGTTTTTAATGACAGCAGAATGTATTTCAATTCATCATACACAAATGGAGTGCAACATTTCAGTTCTCTGGTGGTTGTACACGGTGTAGCGACGCACCATTCATGCAACTGTACATGTACCTAGTGTAATGATGTCCATCTCATTCTACTCTTTCCTACCCGCCATTAACCCCTCTCCACCCTTTCAGTTTTAGAAATGGTTAGATGTAAGATTTTGCACTCTTGTATTATTTAATCAATTTCAGCAGTATTACTTTAAATGCTGGTATTGTTTGGCTCTGGAATGTCCCCTAAAGGCCCATGTGTTAAAAGTGTGGTTTCTAGCCCTTGCTGCTATTGGGAGATGGTTGAACCTTTCAGAGGTAGGCCTATTGGGAGGACTTTAGGTCACTGAGTTGGGACAGTAGCTTTGAAGGAAATAGTGGGACTCCAGCCTCTTTTAACTCTTTCTTACCCTCTTTTGCTTCCTGACAATGAGGTGATTGGTTTTCCTCTGCTACATGCTTCTGCCTTGGTATGTTGCCTCACACAAAGCAGTGGAACCAAATGATCATGGACTGAAACCTATGAAACCATGGGCCAAAATAAACTTTTTTTATTCAGTTGATTATATCAGGTATTTGTTACAGTAAAAGAAGGCTGACTAACAGTTGGTACTGAGAGGTTGGGTCATTACCATGATTAAACCTGATGATGTGGAAAAGCCTTTGGAATTGTTTGGCAGGATGAGTTGGGGAAAGTTGGGAGAAGCAAGC